TTATAATAAGCACACAGGTGTTTTCACAATAGTTGCTAGTAGGAGTGAATTCCACAAAGTGTCAAGACATGTGAAGAGTGGGATCTGATATTGTACCGACTTACATGCTACTTACTTAGTCTGACACAATGTTACAGATGCTGGAGGAAAACACAAGCCTTCTGAATCAAAGACAAAGGATTTTTTACTTACATCACAGCAAGGAGCATAAACTCTCCTTCAGATCTGTTCACTTATACTTTAAGGTGAAGAGGAGTGATGGGGAGGCCCCAGGTGCATGTGGAGCACACAGTGGGTTTGTACCTCAGCTAAGGAGTCTTAAATTCAGGGAGCCTGGATCTTTGAAAATGAATTGTAAAAAATACATGCCCAATCTCTGTATCAAAGAGTATCATTATCCTTATTATCCTTATTACATCATTATTGTCATTATCCTGATTACATTATCATTATTACATCAAATAAATACGTCTTTTGAACCTAAGGAAGACACCATATCTTCCAAGTCTGATTGTTATACAAACATTGCATAAGAGTTATTCTGGAAGAAAATAAAAATTAATGCCTCTGCTTACAAGACATAAAGAAATGCAAGAATTTCATGAGAAATTGTTCCCCAGCATAAATATCCTGAGGAGAAAAGTTAAAGATCTGAAGAAGTCCTGGTATTGTTGCTCAAAGCGAAACTGTTCTGGAGCCTTAGAGTATTTTACAAAAATGACAATTAAAGATGACTGATACCACTGCACTTGCCTGCTCACAGTCCATTTATCTACATATCAAACAAAATAGTCCTTTAAAAATTGTACTACATCACTCTTATTCAAAATTCAGTTTCCATATCTTCCTTTGAAATTATAATTATTTGTAAAGAAAAGAAAAAAAAAGGAGATTGACTTCTCATAGTCTAAGAAATCAAGCTGCTATAGATTGCCTCTCCAGCCAACACTAAATTTAATTTCCACTTTCAATACCTATGTTGACTTTATATGGAAATGTAGCCAGTCCCTTAAGCTTACTGTGCCGCTCTTCCCTGTACCTTAGGGCTTTTTGGCTTGCTCAACTTCCTGCATATAAATTTCAACCACTCCCTCTTTCCTTGCTAAGTTTCATCCATCATTCAGTTATCAGTTCAGATACCTCCCTTTTTAGGAACGAATCCCAATTCCCTATTCCAGGACAGGCATGCTTCTTACATGCTGGTTGAGCAGCATGTTTATTCCTTGTTCCATTTCAGTGTATGCAAGATGTCTTTGAGAACAAGAAATAGATCCTGACTACACCTGTGATGGGATCATCACTTGCCATAGAAAGCTACAGGAATAGTATTTCAATGCACGTTGGTTGAATGAATATGTGAGTTCTGATTTTGTGCCTGGAAACATGATGAACTTGTTTTAGTGAACTCTCACCATGCAGAAATTAAAAGAACATACAGCTACTTAGATTTGAAACACATTATTATGCCACATTTGTTTCAGATGCCTTAAGACATAAGACGTTAATCTTACAGTCTTTCCTTTCTACCCAATCCCACTTCTTTTCTACCTAAACTTGGCAACTCTTTTGAATTTGACACAATTATTTCCCAACTACAGATTTCAATTGTAATAAACATTTATACAATTGAATGTATTTCTAGGTTTTCAGTAGCTATAATTATATATATATATATATAATATATACATATATTGTGCATATATGTAATTAAAATTAAAATTTCTAAACTATATATAGCTATATATATTATTAAATTTCTGTATATATTTATATGGTTCTATATAGTTATCTATATATGCCAAAACTATAGTTTTATTTTGATATGAATTTATTATTTTCACACATATTTATTTTCTTTTACTGTTGCCTCATTTTGTCTAACCAATTTTTGATCTTTTTTTTGTAAATATGTTATTAATTTATTTCTGTATTTTGAAATTACAAAAGTATTTTTGTCATCATTTACGCATTTTTTCATTAATAGTAAATTCATTTTTTGGATTTCTTTCTCAATTCATTCATTCTCTTTTACATTTCTGGTTCTTAGGCTTACCATGAACAACAATATGCATCTCTTTGTCTCTCTCTTTTTCTGAAAAATCTCTGTTTTTGTGCACCTGCTCTTTGCCATAGTGCAATTTGGGAAGTATCACTAAACCAATGGCTTCCTGATGGCTTATCCTGGTTTGGGGTCTGTGTCTGATTTCTGTTGTTTCTCTCAATATGGACTTTCATGTAAGAAGTAGGCACAGAAAGTAATAATTTTTCTTCTAGGTTTATTTCTTTATATTCTGGGGGTTATAAATATCAATTAACTTACAAAGGCACAGAAAATAATAATTTTTCTTCTAGGTTTCTTTTAATGTTCTGGGGGCATGTAAATATCAATTAATTTACATAATACAAAGCCCAAGCACTCAAGACCCAGGAGCCCAGCATTCTTTGACTCTTATTCCATTGTATTTTCATTCTGGTTCATCTCCAGAGTACATAAATCAATATACGTATGTAAGCATGTATGTATACAGTTTGGTAGTGCTATTTTATTTTTAATTTCATCTTTATGACATTATTATCTATCATTGCTTTGTCTCTCGAGGCAAGACCCTCTGATTCTAATGTATGTATATATGGTATTATTAATTCAACAAAGGCTACTAAGTCAGTGATTCTAATAATGAAAAATGGATTTAAAAACTGAGACTCAGAAGGTTTAGGGGCTGAATTTATGGAGCAAAACTGAGTCTGTTAATTTAAGAACATATTTTCAGCCATGTTTTAATATCTCCATCCAAAAGAATCGCTGTTTTTTTCTATCCAAGAGAAATTATTTCTGTTATTTATAATTTCAATACTTAAAAATTGTCAATGTATTCTTACAAAATATTTTAAACATTTTTCCCAATATACAACCATCCATAGACTTCTCACATTCAAGCTGGTATAGCTGATGTAAACTTCATTTGCATTGTTAAAAAAATGCACACACAAACTCCTTTAAAAGTGTGCAGATATTTTTAGAAGAAAACCTATATGTGAGTTCCGGCACTAGTAATGTCAAATCACTTAATAAGACATTTCAAATATGATGGGGAATAAGTGGCCAGGCAGTGGCTCATACTTGTAATCCCAGCATTTTGGGAGGCTGAAGCTGGTGGATCACCTGTGGTCAGGAGGTCAAGACCAACCTGGCCAACATGGTGAAACCCTGTCTCTACTAAAAATATAAAAAATTAGCCAGGCATGGTGGTGGGCACCTGTAATCCCAGCTACTTGGGAGGCTGAGGTAGGAGAATCACTTGAACCTGGGAGGCAGAGATTGCAGTGAGCGGAGATCGGGCTGTTGCACTCTAGCCTAGGCAACAAGAGCAAAACTCCGTATCAAAAAAAAAAGGAAATATATATATATATATATATATATATATATATATATATATATGTGTGTGTGTGTGTATATATATATGTATATATATGTAAAATTGTTAATTTAATTCACAAATTCCAGATATAATAAATCTTGTATAAAGAACTTTTCATTAAGAACATGGGATTCAACAACAGCAAATTATTCTGTTTTTCTAAAATACATTCAGACTTATGCTTATGTAGGTTGAATAGCTTGAATTAAACACATCTTCAAATTTAAGTCAAATTTTCATTGTAATGTCATTAAATTCAAATTATTTTAAAAACATAAAATTCTTGCTGGAATAGAAAAACATCTAACTGAAACATTAAGTACATGGATCGACATATGATTTCAATCTCCTAAGGAAGCAAGTTAAGTAACCTCTGCCAAATTATATAATTCCTTAAAATATGGAAAAATAGGATTTTTTTGCAAGTTTCACATGTTTAATCATACGAACTATATTTGAATTATAAGACGGCTTCTTCTAATGTAGGTAAATTTATGATAGTCAGTTAAATGCAATTTGTCATGCACAAACATACACAAATATTTATTCCCATAAGTAGAGCTGACATAGGGCCACTTAAAATGTGAGAGACAATTAAGCTTTGAATGTTCTTATAAATCTGATAGCTGTATGCACATTTTGATACTTTGTTATATTTAAAGATGTTTAGGGAAAACGGGAAAAATGCTTTTGGCAGGTTGTCATTTAGTGACTTGCATTTGAAAATTTTCTCCTGGAAGTGAAGAGAGAGGAAATCCACTATTTACTTCAAAATGTGTGTGCCATTGTTTTCTGCATGTGATTCTGAGTCAAGTGTTAAATTCCAAATAGCAGACTATTCAGATAAACATAATCAAATATATAGTTTGGAGAAAGAGAAAGTTGCTCCTAATCAGAAAGTTGCGCATACTCTATGGCTTAATGTTTCCCTAAGGCATGAAGAATGACTTGTATGAAACTTTAAGAAATGAACAAAAGAGGACATTAAATAATGAAGAAACTTCCATAGGTACTAAATTATGGGATTATTTTTAACAACATAATAGAAAGAGCTAAATAAAAATGATTCAAAAATTTCCAAAATGCTCTGCATTCTTGTGCATATCTTTCTACCCATATTTTGGACAATGTTCCTAATACCAAGAGGAAATATAATTTGTACAGCACATCTTGATAACCTTGTTCATACAAGATGATTGCAGGCACTGCATTTCCTTTAGTAACTGTCCCTAGGATATATTTTTCATTTTTCCTAATTTGAATATCTTCTACCTCCAAGCAGTGGCAGCAGTTCTCATAAACAAGTTTGTCAGCTAAGAGTTCTCTTAAAATTTGCCCAAGAGCATATTACATGTCTGTTTCTTGTTTAAAGATACGCTTCTGAATAAATTCAGTGAAAGTGATTTGTACATATGGCTCAATTTTAAATATGAGCTATTCACAGATCATAACACAGCAACATCAAACTGACTTTGAATGCTGATTTGCAAGATGTTTGTGGGTATATAAGAATAAAGCCTATTACATATACGGTAAAAGAAGAAACTACAGAGATAACCAAATATGTGTATATATGTTCACCTTCATTGTCCTTCAGAGTGAAGTTGGGATTTACAGGCAGGTGTTCATCAAGAAAGAAGTGAAACCTTGGTCCGTTGGCAAAATCATCTTTATCAGTGGCACTGATGGTATGAATAACCTAAAGAAAAGACATACACTAAATTGTCAATTTTATTTTGCTTGTTCCCTTGATTTTAATTACATTGTATTCTTTCTGTTTAAAAATTACGTTTAAAACACCTTTTATTCCAACTTGAGTTATTTTTTTTCAAGTTCATCTCATAAAATGATCAATTAAATTGCCCTGTTTTAGATTAGAGTTTAGGAAAAACAGGGTATATAATTTCTAACCATTCATCACACTTGATTTTCTAGCATAGCACACGCAACGAATTTTTTCTTAATCACCCATGGTACTGTAGGGTCAACTAGGTGCAATGTTTTCACATGAACATCTCTTGGAGAAGACATCAAGTATTGTTTGGACAAATATAAATATCCCAACGTTGATTCAGAACAGCTTATGAGTGCATGTTGGTCTACGTAGTAACTGCAAGAACAGTAGAATCTTGGTTTTATTATTTTTTCAAGAAGCCATTAAGATCATGATCCAGTCCCTGTATTTTACAGTTGAGGAGCCTGAATCCTGGAAAGATGGTGATGTGCTGCAAATCTCTAAAATAATGGTACAGGCAAAACAACACCCTCAGTGATTTGTAAATAACTTCTCTCTAGTGCTCAGGAGAAGGCAATTCTTTAAAATCTGGACTTACTATACACTAAAAAGCAGAGTAAGTTAGAATTTATGGTGGCCCAAGAAAAGAACATGCATTTCAATAAATATGGCCAGTCTGCTCCTAAAAAATTAAATATCAAAATAAACAGACCAAAATATACTTCCACTTTTGAAAATTATTGCTGTAATGCTTAGGTGTCTTCATTCAACCTTTTCCTTAGAAAAATGAGAAACAAAGAGAGGGTAAGTAGAGCTGTGACAATCGTATTTCCTGCTTCTGTAATACATTGTCTCATTTTAGAAACTAACATAATTTCTTAGAACATTATATCTAATTTCACCCAATTCAGTATTTTACAAGGGAGGTAATTCACCAAACGATATCACAGTTAACACCTAAATGTCTCTCCATGTTCTGAGCCCATTGGTTTGTCAGAAAGATGAGAAGGAAAATAAAAGTACCGAGAAGTGGGGGTGAGTGAGAGTAAAACCAGAAAAGCATGTGTTTTCATGAAGTGACAGTGAAGGAAGCACTTCAGGATACAGAGATCAACTTCCTCATTCTGTTTACTGAACTCACTCTCACCTCCTTTCCGTCACTACTTAAAATATTCACGTTCAGCAAGATCCTATGTGCTTCTTACCCCGGCCTCCGCCTCCAGAGAAGTCTCTAGCCTTTGTTTCCCTCCATATTTATTTACAAGCTGAAAACCTTACTATTTTCTTTGTCCATTTAAAGTACAACTAGTGTCGGAATAGATTGCCTTTCCTTTTGTTTGACTTGGAGTATGAGAATACATTGATGGATAATCAAAACATTATGGCAATTCCAGTGCTGCCTCATCTGAGGAACATACCTACATTGTCTACACATCAGTTACTTAATATAAAATTGAACTATATGTCAATATTTTAAGTTTTTTAAAGGTTAAATAAGTATTTAGGCATGTATCACACACTCCCTCACTCCCTCTAACACCTACAAATACTTAATGTTACCTCTCCTTTTTCCCCGTTCTTTGTAAAACAAACGTTCTATCCCCTTTGTCTTGAATTTTAGTGATTCTCCAGTGTGTGACCCTATTTCCTCTAGGGTACCTTATAACATTCTGATACATTTACAAGTTTACTTTTTATCTGAGGATAGAGTTTTGGAGGAGATTGGTGAAGAACATTTCATTTGAGTTAACTGAGCTAGTTTATGTTTTCTGTTATCATGGCTGTGGCATTATTATTTTCTTTCCTAGCCATTTTAAATATATAAATTATTTTAATATTTTCTTAATATTTTACAAAAATGAGCTCATTATATCTGTTAAACTCTGATATAATTCATATTCTATTTTGTCAGGCATCTTTTTCACTTTTTTGCAGATAATTTCAAATGCAAATTAAAACAGGAAGCTGAAGTATGACAAATGCGTTTTTTGAGGAGAGAAACTCCTAGTCTCCACATGAAAATGAGGATTTGATTATGATGTTTTGTTTAACAATGTCCCAAGCATCTTGAACTCTTTTAGAATTGTTCATAGTGTATCTAAGCTTAAACTTTTATTAATCATATTTCTGAAAAAAATTTTTCCAGAAACTAGAATGTTAGTCTGACATTGTCCAAAATTCTGTCATATTTGCTCAGTCTGTGTTCTGTGTTGGCATATTAAATTTTTCTGTTTTACAAATAACCTATCTCTTTCATCAGATAATAGAATTTACATCCATTGTTACCTTAGACTTTCATTACAAAATATACCTGAGAAGTTAACATGTTTGTGGTTTTTAGAAGTTGTAAGCTTCTGGCAGATACCCAGGTAATTAACAGGTTTCCATCATTAATATTTTCTCTCCCTTTGTCAGAATTTTGATTTATACACACTGTGTTACCTTGCTATCTTTTTGTGTAATTGTTTTAGTAATGTAAAATCCCTAACAATGTCTTTTTGGATTCCTGTTTTTTCTAATTTAACACAAGTGTTATTTCTCATATATATATGTCCATGTGTGATCTAATTAGCACATAGAATGCTTTTTTTTTTGAAATATATCAAATAAATGATGCTACAAATTTAGTCTTAAAAAAGCAAAGGGTGAAAAAAAATGGAGAGTTGCTGTTTATAAATAATTACCAGGGAGTTTTTTATGATGTCTTCAGATAAATGTATCCACTTTAAAAATATACTTTCTATTGTCTATTAATACTAGAGTACTTTATTAGGGAAAAATCAGTATCACAAATATATAAAATCTGTCTAATCTACTTGATTGGCTTAAACATTTTAAAAAGAAAGTTTTTTTTGTTTGTTTGAGTATTTGTTTGCTGAGGCAGAAGCTTACTCTGTCACCCAGGATAGAGTGACTGTGGCATAATCTATCGGTCTTAGCTCACTGTAACCTTTGCCTCCTGGGTTCAAGTGACTCTCCTGCCTCAGTGACCAAGTAGTTGAGATTACAGGCGTGCACCACCATGCCCGACTGATTTTTTAATATTTGGTAGAGATGGATTTTTACCATGTCGGCCAGGGTGGTCTAGAACCCCTGGCCTCAAGTGATCTGCCCACCTAGACCTCCCAAAGTGCTGGGATTACACGTGTGAGCGACCATGCCGGCCAAGAAAGTTCTTAACTCAGAAATAAAAAATCAAATACACACGTTCTCACTTATAAATGGAAGCAAAACAGTGGTGACAGATCAACATAAAGATAAAAATGACAGACACCAGGGACTCTAAAAGGGCAGAGACTAGGAAGGGAGAAGGTTAAAAAATAAACTGTTAGGCGCAGTGTTCACTATTTGGGTAACAGGTATACTACAGGCCCAGTCCCGACCTGAACACAACATACCCATGTAAAAAAATGCCCATGTAACCTCACAATCTAAAATAATATTTTTTTAAAAGACATAGTATGCTGTTTAAATTAATTAATGCATCGGCTTCAAAATATGACCCTTAATATTATCTGCTTACATTTATTTGATAACATCAACTTTTGCTATTTAAATGTACTTGATTTCTGACAGTAAAGAATCTCTATTGACCTAGTTAATTTTTTCATGCAAAACTATAAAGTTAATAATTGTATGTGGTGGAGGCAGAGAATAGTGTTATGTAATAAAATTTATTTTATGTGTTATTTTTGTACATTTATTTCTAATGAAAGAAAGAACACAGAGGAAATTTAATATGTATAAAATATAATAGATTCCCTCTGTTTTTTTTTCAATTTTTCTACTTTAGGCATATCTAAATTTTCTGAATTCATTTTACTTTGGGAACTGTCTTTAAATTTCACGCATGCATGCATTTCTTTGTAATACTTTTCTTAGGCAATATACTTAAAATATATATTTTTTCAGAACAGAAAAATATATTAACTAAGAGAACTATATTGTGGCGGTTTACATTAGTATCACAATTTACCTGAAGTCTGCTGTTTTATAGGGCTTAAACTTTCACAAAAGGCCAATCTCTTTGCCATAGCTACATTCTAATACATTTAGATGTGCAGCCTCCAGAATAGAAATACCTGTAATTCTAAAAGCAATTGTCATTAAAATAGGAACTGTCACACAGCTTGGTAATACAAATACAGTTCAGAAAACTGATTTCTCCAATTGTTGCTTAAATAGAGTTTCCTATTCCAACTCTGCATCACAATGCATCAGATTTCTTCAGAAGAGTTTTTAATATATGGTTAAAGGAGTCAAAGGCTATAAAACAAAAGAATACAGATTGGGGCCATGTCACTCTGTAATGGGTTAATCACATGAACAGAGCACATACATTGGTAATGATTCCTCTAAATGTGGATGCCACAAGCAATACTTAAAAACAATCTTTTCTTCCATCAATTAAGGATTAAATTAATTTTGGTGGAAGAGTTGAAAATAAATATGCAAGCAACAACATAAAAAAGTTCAATTATCTTATAATCACATCTAAAATTGTTCAATTTTAAAGGCAACAATGGTAGCTAAATATATAGTGTTTTAAAGAGCAAAAGGATCAACTTACAACTTAATCAAAATGTTAGAATGTAGGGGTACTAAGTGTAGTAATTGCCTTTTTGATAGGGTTAGGTTTTGTGTCCCCACATAAATCATGTTGAATTATAATCCCCATAATCCCCACATGTCAAGGGAGGTGATTGGACCATGGGGGCAGCTTTCCCCCATGCTGTTCTGATAGTGAGTGGGTTCTCGGGAGATCTGATGTTTTCGTTGTTGTTGTTGTTGTTTTTTTCTGAGACCAAGTTTCCCTCTTATCACCCAGGCTAGAGTGCAGTGGCATGATCTTGGCTCTCTGCTTCTTAGGTTCAAGCAAGTCCCCTACCTAAGCCTCCTGAGTAGCTGGGATTACAGGCAGTCACCAGAACATCTGACTCATTTTTTTTTTTTTTTTTGTCTTT